CAACAACCAACAACCAACAACCAACAACAACAACAACCAACAACAACAACAACAACAACAACAACAACAACAACAACAACAACAACACCACCACCACCACCAACGAACGAACGAACGAACGAACGAACGAACGAACGAACGAACGAACGAACGAACGAACGAACAAACACACAAACACACAAACACACAAATACACAAACAAACCAACAAACGAACAAATACACAAATACACAAACACACAAACACAAACACACAAACACACAAACACACAAACACAGAAACACACAACCACACAAACACACAAACACACAAACACACAAACACACAAACACATAAACACACAAACACACACACACAACACACACACACAAAAACACACAAAAACACACAAACAAAGGAAAACAACAAACAACAAACAAACAAACAAACAAACAAACAAACAAACAAACAAACAAACAAACAAACAAACAAACACACACACACACAAACACCCAACCTGCCCGCGCGCCTGTCTTTAACTCGCCTCGGTGAGACCTTGGCCAGTCAAGAGAGGTGCCCATTTTCCCCAGTGCGGGACATTTTCAAGGGTTCCTGATTCGGAACCAAGTACGCTTTGAATGGATCTTTGAGAGGGGCGATCTCAATCGTTGGCCCCCCCCCCCAACCCCAAAAGGCGCTCAACCATTGGTTGTCGATCATCAAATGGGGACAGTTCTCTTTCCGGAGCCGGGAAGTGCAGGTGAAAACCTGGACTTGAACCCTGCCCCCAACCAACGGTCACCTTGTTTTGAAGGCAAAACTCGCATGCGCTGCGCTTCCTGTGCGCGAGGTGGCGCAATGCACTATTGAGCTATAGCGACGTTACCGCACATCTTTCCGTGGAAGGCATTAAGATCTTTTGCGGAACAGGGCAAACAGTTCGAAGAATCGTGGCGCCTCAGATCTGCAAAACGCGCCATGAAGATACCCTCCCTCGCCCCGCAAAAGCAAATGCATAGAAACTATTCATATCCACCAAACCCATTTTTGAAGTGTTTCCCCACAGTTCGTAGCCCTTTTGGCCGTCCAAACCGAAGGTGTGGGATCCCCGATGAAACCCTTAGGTCACAGTTTGGCTGAGCTTTCAGGCAGGCTGAGCGGTTCCCCCGTCAGCCTCGTCTGCAAAAACAGCACGTAGGACCTGAGGCGCCAAATGTCTCTTTCCTAAAGCGGCAACATTTTCTTGGTAATGTTGGCCCCTGATGAATAACCCTCCCACTTTTGATTTTTAATGGGCCCACTTTTCGTGGGGAATCCTTTCTGCCAGGGGACTTTGCTGATTCATATTCACCATAAGACAGAAGCGTGGGTGGTGTTCAGGTCCAAAAGCGTACAAAAGTCCGGCTGGGCCAAGCCGCTAACGGCCTGCACAGGGAAATGGACTCATGCCGCATTTGGCTGAAATGTTGCAATAGACCCTTTCGGCTCCAGGGTTGCGGGGAATTTCATGGTTCCCACTTCTGATCTGTGAGACGTTTTAAGGAATCTGCCTGGAACTGATTGAAGAACAAAGGCAATTTCAACCAGTAGTCAGAAGTCCATTCCTACATCCGGTGGTCTTATTGGAGCTTTGCGTGCTGCTTGATGCGCCTTTGTCAAACCTAAAATATCGCAAGTGAAACCTCACATTCTACATAAAAATAGGCGGGCCTGCAAGGGTTGCCTATGGTCGTCTGCTTTGGCCCTTCTGGCCTGAAAAAAAAACAAAAAAACACACACGCCTGAACCGTCCCGCTCTAAGTGGGCAGCGAATCTTCATCCTCAAGTAGGGCGCTCACTTTGCTTGCCTGCCAAGGCTTGCCGCTTCGTGCGGCAACCCCAGCCGAGCTTTCCGGGAAAGGGCCCCCGCCGAAAACCCAAAATACCCAACGCAACAGGGCTCGCATCAAGGCCCAGGTGCTGGAATCAGCTTTAGGTGGCTTCCCATGTGGTAAGAGACACCAAGTGTTCAGATCCTAAAACTTGGCCATGAGCTGCCATTGGCACAACCACGGAGCAAGTCCCGGCCAATGAATCAATTGAATCAACGCCTTTTGAAGCACCACATCTCCACTAGAGCTCCAGACTAAAGCCGAGCCATCCTGTGGATGGGCAAGATCCATTTCACGCCACCTAAGAAGCCCTGAAATTCTGCTTCCCCTTCACTCACACACCAGCCATTGTGCCACCTACTAGCGCCCAGCCTTGCAATTCGTGTGAGGATTGCGCTCATGCCGAATCGATCGGCAAGGGTAGGCATCTCCAAAGGAATCCGATCACCAATGCAGGTTTGTCAAAAGTAGGGGTCCGTTTTGGTAGGCACAAGGCGGCACCAGGTCTATGGCTGTCAAGGGCCTTCCCCCCCAAAGAGGGCACCCCAAAACAAGGCGCCTACTCAAAAAGGAACCTAGCGGCCTTAGTAGTTACGCCTATGGAGGGGGCCACGTTATGTTCGACAAATGCTCTGAACAATCTAACGTGCCCATGTGAAAGCACCATGGGAATTCTACCTGGGTTTGTCCACATGGGGAATCGTTTCCAAGATGCCTCGGATTCCCCATTGAAACCACCCGCAAAGTCGGTCCTTCACAAAAAAAACACACCACGTGAAGCTCTTCTGCCCAGCCCTTCGTATGTCAGCCAAAAAGTTGATCCTTGCAGCCGCGCATTTGCCGATTTGTTGTGCACACTGCTTGGAAAATGATTAAGGCCATTGCATTTTGTAAAGAGGAGCACTCTCGGCGGCCAGCCTCACATGGCCTGCTGAGCACTAACCTGGTCAAATCTGGCATGTGTTCCGGACGTGTCTCACGTCTTCCCTGCAAAGTGACGAAAATCTGTGTGGAGGGCCTACAAGGGGTGCACATACATGGGCTGCTCAAAATGGAGGCTTGGCCAACCCCAATCCACAATCTGCCTAGGGAAGCCACTGCAAAGGCGACCCCTTACGTAACCCAAGGTAAGGATTAAGGATGACATTTGTACACCCGGAACATCTACACATGCATTGCATGTCCACACACGCAGAATTTCATGTATGTATGGGTATTTATGCATGCATGTATGTATCTACGTATGTACGTACGTACGTGTGTCTCCACATATTTTTGGAGAGTTGTGTATATCAGTCTGGGTCATGTACTCCAGAGCGGTGTAGTTCTGCCCCTTGAGGTCAGCTGCCCTTGCTCAAGCCCATCAAGCTGGCAAGGCACATTTCAAACACGATCGAACAAGTGCCGATTCCAACATTCACTTCAACATGGGACAAGTCAGGCACACTTGCCGAGTCCAAATGAAACCAACCTGATTAGGGCAACTTTGGTCTCAAACCCAAGTGATATACATAATAGCCATCAGCTCTCGGAAAAGATTCGGCGCCGGAAAATAAAACCGTATACCCTTATTCTCCCATGAGGGCATATTAAAAAAAAAACTCAAAAGTCGGACTCCTTCATCTTTTGTGGGTTCAAAAAAGAAACTTTCCCAGACCGCTGGCAATGATTGAAAGGCAATCCTTTGTTTCGTTGATTTCAGTGACCTCCAAACATAAACAAGTCAAGGGTCACAAAGGGGCTGGGTTCTTGAAGTCTTCAACGGGCCCTGAATGGACCAAATCCTCAGGCACCGGTTGGGATTGCTTGGGATGCCCTACTGGGACAGCAACTTTTATTCCCTTTCAATAACATGACGCACCCCTGGGAGGGTAGCTGAAACACTCATTTTGTTGTAGGGACCAATTCCCGGTGCCATGGCAACGCATGATTAGACTTGGGCCCAGTGGTAGATTCTATATTTTGGTGTTTGATCCACTTTGAGTCTCTGGAAAAAAAACAAAAGAAAACAATGTTTATCATGTATCCTAAGTCTACCCCAGAACGTGGTTGCGTGGTTGGGTAGCTCCAGGATTTCAGGTACTAGCGGCCAAGTCACAGGGCTATGAGGCCCCGGAACCTGGGCGACGGGTGCAAGCTGTGGAGGTGTGGTTCAAAGAACCTAAAATCCAAACCATGCCGCCGGATGCGGCCAAAGATCAGGGCCGAGGAGTGGAGGGGGTCCAATAAGTCTAATATTGTATTTCAATTAGTTGGGAGGTGATACTAGAAGCGGTCATCTTATACCCAGAAACGGCAGGGGTTTCTTTTTGGGGTGCCTGTGTTCCTTGTTACCTTGTTTTGAGCTAAGGGCAATCTCCAAAATGGCCAACGGGGTGGAAGCTCAAATATTGTGCTGCGAATGCACCACGGTGTTGCACAGAGATCGTTTTGGTTGTGAGCAGTTCCATAGAACGCCTTCCGTGGCTTTCAAGCCATGCTCCCTACACACACCGGTTCTTTTTCGGGTATACTTTTGCTAGATTAGCCAGAATCCGCCGTGCGTCTTGCAGAAAAAAAACCCGCAGCACCACGAGGCCGCATTGCTCTACCCTTAGCAAAGTCACCCCCAAGTGATTGGGTGCAGGAAAACACCCCCAGTTGCCCAGTGTCTTTCGCAGAGTCGAAATCTGGGCATCCAGCATGCCGGGGTCCTCTCAGGGTTCGGTTGGCAGGTCTGTAGCCAGAAAGGCAGCGGCACAAATTTCCCGCTCAACGGCTTCCTATATGGAACCTTACTGAGGACTTGGTTTGGGTCCCATTTTCCTCTAACCTTCTGACAACCATCCCTCAATGGGTCTGCTTTTGGGGCAAGGCTGATGTCCCAATGAGGGAAGGACATCAACAAAACAAGTAATTATATGGGTTGAGCAGCGCCTGAGCTTCCAGCAAGTCTAGCAACTGCCCTTCACGCAAGTCCATTGGGCACTTCCTTTTGGAACCCATTCGGGCCGTCTGACTCATGGCATCAGCTCGCTTCCGCTCGCTTCTTGAAGTAGAGGAAGCCGGCGTTCATCTCCAAATCCTCGGAAAGCAGCAGCAGATTTTGCGCGGTCCTTCCACAAACCGTGGGGTGGCTACCTGTCAAGCCACAGCCACTTCAGTACACCGACTAGACCGATGTTGACCTAGGCCAGAACTACTGCTGGCTGAAACTGCTCCATCGAATCGCGAAACACATTCTACCCCCCCCCCCCCCCCATGCCAGGCGCCCCCCGTACTTACGCGCCTCGCAAATTTTGCCCTGCGGGTGGTGTGTGGATACCCTGGTGAGTCCATTGCACTGGGCTTACACAAGGCTCTTCTCTTCTGGGCTGCCCTCAGATCCCCCGCTAAAAGTTTAACTGCCAGCAGGTTAAATGGAAACTACCACTAAACACTAAAAGGCGAAAAAGCTGAGGAACCGGATGGCTGGGAGACACCAAGTTTTGGCGGAGGGAGTTACAAAAGATTTGGAGCGGTGCTCTCCAATGAGCACCGGCGTTGGACCAGCCGAGCCAAATGGTCAGCACCAGCCTCTCCCCGTTCCCCCAGTAACCTGTCAGGCCCATTTCCACATCCTTTTCAGCAAAAATGGCCTCACACGTTAACCACCCCCCAAGTGTTCATGGATTGGCTTTCAAAGTACGGTGCCCTTTGCTAAAGCATTGCTTACTTATATGTCGACTTCGGGGTGTTCAGGATTGCCTTTGAACGGCGGTAGCAAAAGGGTGCTGTGGCCCCAGGGAATATGCGTGAAAATCTGGGTGCCCCTTTCAGCCATATGCGGCCCCTCACATTCACCCGGGACAAGGCACCTCGTCCTTTTCTGAAAACTCCACCACCGCATCGAACCCAGCTTTGTCCTTGGCCCGCATGCAAATTATGCCTGAGGGTCAAACCAGTCACCAGGTTGATGCACTGACCTAATCACCACAGATTATGCCTCAGGAGACATTTGGTGTCTATTTTAGGGGACCTCGGACCCCCCTACAATTTGCGTTTCCCTTCAAAACCACCAACACAGGGGTACCATCGCAAAAAGACAGCCCCATTTCACCACTCGTTTTCTGCAATCAGCCAGGCATGGCCTGCACATCTGTCACGAGTGAAGCGCATGCATGCTCAATCGAGCGAGCGCAGTGGGGACAGTTGCAGTTCCAACAGCATTCCAACAAGACATACAGCTTAGAGTCATCCGTAGAACAATGTCAGAAGCTGTGCTTGTCATCTTGGCGTGCGTTCTGCGCCCCATCTGTGGATGCCTTGGTTGGTCGCCTTTTGCTCTGCCCGTTTTTGCTCGTTCTCAGAAACAAACCGCCCGACGGACTCCTGGGTGACCCCGGCGTTGCAATCAAGGCTCGGCCAGTGCCTTCATCCCGTCAAAGCTCCACAAATATGCCTTGTCCCATGCCTGCGACCGTAGATCGCCTTCAGTGATCGCCCCAGCTTCAGTTTATATCAATACCACTGGAATTCCACGGGTCAGGGGCCCCCCCCACCCTCCGAATTCCAAGCTTAAGGGTGGGGATGGCTACCGGCTGATTGGGACCAACGTGTCGAGTTTTGCCCTGCCAGACCTGCAAGGCACAAACAGGATGTCTAAAATGGAGCCGGTGGATTGTTTGACAGTGGAACCAGAATGAGTCCTATTACCTCTCTTGGTCGGGCGTAGCGAACCTGTTGCTGGCTACAGGCAAACTGAAGGAAACCCAAAAGGACAAAGGGCAGAACTGTGATGCAAATGGTGGAAAGCCATGATGCAGCTCCCTAAGAGTAAGGTGTAGCCTTGACAAATTGTTCCAAGCTTGTGTCTCTGAGGATTCGGTTGGCCTGGCTGGGTGCTGCCAGGTGGAGGACCTTCCGGTTGAACAGCCATAAGAAAACAAACACATTGAGCCTGGCAACCACATGTGGTTTACAACCCTTCCATTTGCTTAAGCCCCTGGAAAAAGAACATATTTCCAATAGTGGTAGGTTTAAAACCAACCAGGGAAAATAAGAAAGAGTCTCAAGCAAATGGAATAACCATACTGTTTGAGGTGGCCTTGCTCTTGGTACTCAGGAGCTGTGCTTGTCCGGTCGTCAAACTTGTCGCTGTCAAGGTCATTGGCAGTCTGGCTGTTCCTGTTGTGCCTGGCTTGTTGGTGTCCTTTCTCTACCCTGCGACTCGGTGAGCTCGCCATAAACATAGGCAGAGATGTGTGGGCTGGAGAATGCTCACCTTACAGTCGGTATTGATTCTGCTCAACTCACCTGGGATTGTGGTAAGTCCATTTTCCTAGGGGTAGAACACGTCACAGGGTCACTCCCAAACCTACAGCTGGCCAGTTCTGGGTTCACCGCTGCTGCACGCGCGGATTTCTTGAGGCCCTCTTCACCTTGGTTTCAAGGAAAAACCACTCGATGTCTATCTATCTCTACATATATATATATATATATATATCTATGCGCATAATATCGGGTCAACGCGAATCAAGTGCCCCAAAAGGATGCGAACTTTCTTCGGCGCCTTCGGCACGTGCTCCATGAGCTCGCCATGGCCGCCCTCCCAGAACCTCAGATGCAGCCGCAAAGACTTGGATCATAGGGCTGCCTCTGCGACAGAAAGGCCAGATGCAAAGGGAACGGTTTTCTTCACACCTCAGGTTAGAAAAACAAGGCTGCGTAGAAGTGCCACCGAGATCCAAGGCCAAACAAAAAGCAAGCCAGGTTTCAGGCAAAAGGCCGCAAGGTCAAAACCAAGTCGTCCAAGATCTGCTTTCTTAACAGGAAGCGCCCATCTGAACAGTCCCCAGCTGACTTGGATCTGAGGGTTTTTGTATTCCACTCTGGGATTACACCCTTGGGAAATCACCCAGAATGGTTCTATTCCCAGGGTGTAAAAAAATACACAAGCCCTTAGATTGGAGGTTTCCCCCCCCCCCCCCCGCGCCCGATCTCCGCCCAGAAGCGCCACCATAAGACAGCCCTGGACCTTCAGCAGCCGATGAGCCTCTGCCAGCGCGCTTTGAAGGCCTGCCTCGTCCACGTGGTGCACGGCGAACATGTTCATGATGCCTAAGCCCAGCTTGGTTGGTGACACCTTCAGACTATGACTATATACCATTTGCGAAGAAGTCGCCTGGGGAAAAAGGCAATATGTCTAGTGACAGGTTCCCTTACAACTCATTTCAGCACATGGAAGGCTATGATGTCCCCAACCAGAACTCCTAGCTCCAAAAGGCTCCCCTAGCTCCGAGTCCGGCTCCCTTCGAACCACTAGCTAGTAGAGCCGAAGAATTGGTGCGACTGACCTGGGCAAGATGTACCAATATGCAGATTCGGAGCCATCAACATATCATGATTCAGAGCAAAGGGTCAGAACGCCCTCTCAACAGACTCCTTGGGGCTTTCTGATTCTCTGACTCCCGACGCAAGGCGCCTGCTATGGAGGCAGCCTCCGGAAAGGCCTGCGTCAGATCTGTCATGTCGGCGCGCCGGAAGGTGGCGCTTGGCAAGCGTTTGGAGGCCAAATCCAGCATCTCCTCCGGCGGTATCCGCACGTCCAGGTTGACCAATCCACCGGTCGACATGCTTTGGGTGACCCGTTGAATGGGTAGAGTCCTGGGGTGAAATGAAGGCGAAGAAAGCATGTGATTGTCCTGTGCAAGCGATCAGAACCCATGATTAGAACCTGTTCAACAACTCCCCTGACCCCTTGATCACCAAGTCCCCTGACCCTTTGATATGCCTCTACCTTCCCTGCAAATTAACATGGAACCAGAAAAGGGTCCAAGAGATGCCAAAGGGTGCTCCGCTCCAAGTCATGTTGATCCCGGTCCTCAACGCAAACCTTTCTTGTTGAAGCAAAGGCATGTTTTGACTTGACGCACGTAGGCTATATCCCCTTCTCAATCATTGAAGCCAGCCGGAGAGATTGGAAAAGCACCCTTCATCAAACAAGCGTGTCTACTTCAGGTCCGCTTCCGTCACTTTTGGCCAAGACTGTAAACCAAGCAAACCGCCGATTTGGGGGTTGGCTAGCAGCCGGCCCGCGGCGCATTGAGCGAAGTCGGAATCACCGAAGTGGCTTCCGCCTCGGCGGAAGCCATAGCCACTGGAACCGGCAGTCAAGAAGGGAATCGGCTGTGGCTAGTAGCCCTGCTAACCCACTTCGGGTTATGGGAGTAAATGGGCTATGTACTAAGAGGGTTCCAGTAGAAATGACCATCCACATCAGTCCGTAAAAAGCGATTCTCCCACAGGCCCCGATGTACCAGGGGAGAAACCTGCCTCAACTCGGGTCGCCCGAAAGCCTCGGATCTCTTGCGGCGCGAAGCTCCTGGCAGATGTCGCTGCCCAGCAGTGGCCGCGGCTCAACTGCAGCCACTCGCTCCAGTACATGGCCGGGGCCGCAGGACACGTCCAACACCGGACCTGCGCGCCCAGGATTTGTCGGGTGAAGATGTTTCACTGTTCCAACCGCGGGAGGGGGGGGGTTCGAAAAATACCAGGGTCCAATAAGATGGTTCGTTTTTTGGTTGTTGTTGACCCCTCTGACTTTTTGTGCGTCCAATGGAAAGTCCACTGGGTCGCAAAAAGTTAAAAGCCAAAGATCCAACAAAATTGCCCAAGGTTGAAGTTCCAAAAAGGGGTCCGTGATTTGAGAAACTTCCGTATAACATTTGCACGGTGTTGTGCATTTGCTGAACGGAAGGAGATGGTACGGCTTGAAATAAGTTGTCCAGTCATGCCCGTTGAAAACGGGAATCCTCCTTTTTGGGGTTGACCATGTTTAGAGTTTAGAGGCACTTCCTATCTCAGCCAGGCTCCACATAAGCACGGCGCTTCTGCCTCAACGCCATGCGAGTGACGTGTGACATGTGTGCAGGCTAGCCCAGTTAGAGACTCCCAGAGGAACAAATGTCATTAGCCTTCTGCTGGTAAGTCGCGGCTCCTTCTGTTCTTAACCGCGCCTGCAGAAAGTTCGGAGCGACATGCACAATTGGATCGATTGGATGAAATCAATCCATCCAAGCCCCCCCTGAAAACATGGCAAACATGTCGGACAAGTCGTCGACTTATGGCCCACACTTCTTAACACCCGATGGCCATCGGAGGCTTTTGGAGGGATGGTTCCGGGTTTCTTGCAAACATCCTCCCTCTTCCGAGATGCTTGCAACCTTCTCCGCAATGGAGCTGCAAAACTTCTCACCCGTCAGACTTTGTCTCGCCAACATGTTGCTTTCTAAAATGGCTCCGGAAGCTACACAGTCGCGCCAAAGCAACCCTCTAGCAATTGGAGGTTGGGATCTCATACCAACAAACGTCACAGTCGCAGACCTTATAGGGTGTCCACGTCTAAGTCTGAATCTGGAATAGTAAAATACACCCGTTCTCCTGCGGATCCAAAGAAAACCACAGGGGTGCATTCAGCCACATGCCAAAGTTGAGATCAGGGCGAAAGTCAACGGCCTAATGAGCCGGCTGGATTTATCCCTTCCCACAAGTTTCCTCCAAAATTGAACGCCCCCTGCTCAGCCAGGAATTGACTCATTCTTTCACCAATGGTTGTCTTAGGGCACGTGTTTTAGGGGCATTTAGGAGGGGTTCCAATGTCTGACGTCCGTCCCGTCCGCCTGCATCGACACCTGCCACAGGCAAAATTGCTTGACGACTGGGCGAATGGCCCATCACGCACCGCGCACCACGCACCATGCGCCAGGCACCGGGAAGGAGGGAAATCGGGGAGTACTGAAAGAATACTAGGGGTTTTCCAAGAAATGCTAAAGC